TTCATGTAAATGTGTTGGGTGCTGTTAAAATGTTTTTCCCAAGTTGGCTTCCAGATGTTTCTTTTTACTTTTTTAATTTTTTTTTTTTATTCCCAGAAGGTTCATGTGTCTATTGGAGAGAGAGAGCAAGCCCAGAGAGCCCTCCTCCCCCCGGCCCGCTGTCATGGTGCATGGTCACACAGCAATCCTTTCTCCTCCATCTCTTCCTTTTCTTGGGATTTTGGTCATGCATACACATGGAATTAGTGTGTTTTTTAAGCTGCAGGGTCGGAAACACAGACTATGAAGCTGGCCCTGGAGGACCTAGCCTCTTTAACCTACCCTGGACTGGTCTGAAGGATGTTTCTTGATGTTATTTGCTTTTCTCCTGTTCTCTGCCTATTCAGCTGGAATTGATTTCAAACTGGCCTCCCTTCCTCCTCTGTCCTTACTATCGTTTACATGCTGCTGAAACGATTCATGAAAGCACGGCTCTCATCACGTCACCCCTCCCTCAGCTCTTTCGAAGGGTCTCTCTGTCTACAGAGGAGAGTAAGTTCCTTAGCCTCACTATTCTAGTGCACGCTGAAAAATCTGCTAAGAGGACAGATCTCATGTTACGTGTTCTTACCACAATAAAATAAAAATTTAATTCTCAGAATTTTATTTTTGTAAGTGTTCAGAAACTATATTTGCTAAAATTCACAGTATAGGTTGTAGCATATATGAGTAAAACAGTGTTTTCTTGTTATCATTTTTGGGTTTAAGGTCATTCCTTAACTGACAGGTAATTTTCCTGGCTTTTTCTGAGAGAACCCAGATCCTATATTATTAACGTTATTTTACTACTGAAAATATAAACTTTATCATATGATAAAAAGCTGAAAATGATCACTCACTGTATAATGCCTAAGAACATTTTTTAAAGTAATAAAAATAATTATTTTCCTCACTCATGGTTGGCAAGTAACCTATAACCAAATGCCAGTTTGGGGAAATGATTACTTGTTTAAATTATTGAAACGAATATAAAAATTAGGAAAATCTAATGGTAACAATACTGAAAAGATGATCTGTAAGCAAAAATGTGTCCTTATTGAGTACTATTTAAAAACTCAGAACTGTGAACCGTTTGTATACAACATGCAGGTCTAGAAATCATTTATCTTGGAAACGTGGCATTGGATTAGAAAATGCAAATAAAAAGGAGTACAAAAACCAGTGTTATGCTGAATGAGCTACATAGTAAAGAAATTATTTTCTTTATTGTAGAAGACTAAGTGTATTAGTGACTGCAGGCCAGGAATCCAATTTGTGAAGATAACTGGAGATTGTGCATATGTATCTTTGGCTCTGAAACACATTCCTAACTAATATAGATTCCACTGGCCTAAAAATAATTTAAAGGATGTCCCAGTTTTTTTTTTTTTAATGGCATTTAAAAAATAGATGTTTGGAAACGACTAGAAATTTCTCCAGTTGATTTATCGTTCACGAGTCACAGGAGTAAAGCCGATTTTCTGATACTATGTCCTGCATTTATCTTTCAGGAGCGAGAAAGCATTCTAATTAAAACTAATCCAGTCACGAACTTGAAATATCAGGTGCTTTAATGTGATTTGCTTCTTAACAGCCAAGACTATATTGCCATAAATATTTTGCCCCCGGTTGGTTAGAACCTTATTCAAAATAGTGACAGAGCAGTAATGACTTGTAGGAAGGAGGTGCCTGGGCTTCTGTCAGGAGAACTTGGAGGTTTCTTGGTAGGGCTAAGCCCCAGAAAGGGAGGCAGAGGGGCTCTGTCCTCTCACACTCAAGGAGCGTACGCAGGGGCTCACCTTCAACAAGAAAGGGAGAGAGAGACCTCAGCGAGTCAGACCCGAGTACATGCACTCAGTAATACCAATAACTTCCACACCTCCTCATGATTCTAGACAGTCTTTATCATTCCAAAGACACTGAGTTCAGAACCACCTTCTTCCACCTAGACTGTCCAGTCTCTGTCCCTTTGCCAACATTCACATCCTGAAAGCCCAGCCAGTGTTATGTCCCCAAATGCTGCCTTGACTGCTGCTCTGGAAATAATTTTTTGTGCTCTGTTCTCTATTCTAACTGCCTGAGCACTTAAAAAATACTTTATACCATGTTAGGTTGTTTTATCATGTGCCATGTAACAATGTCTTGGTCAATGCTGGCTCACATATACAATGGTGGTCACATAAGATTATAGCTTGTGGTTACCAGCAGTTGGCATAATGGCTATGTCGCTGGACTCCCAGTAGTCAACTGCAGTTGGAGTCTCAGACCCAGTGGCTTAAACTCGCACTGGGTGCATGCGCGTGCATACCTAAGATCCTGAGAGGAGAATGGAGGAGAAGGGATTGTGATGTGGCCATCCCCCCGGGAGGTGATTTTTGCTTTCTGTCTTTCTGGTGAGCGCACACACCCTATAGCAAAAACCTCTCCAAAAAGAAAAAAAAAAGATTATAGGTTGTTTTCTTTCTTTCTTTCTTTCTTTTCTTTCTTTCTTTCTTTCTTTCTTTCTTTCTTTCTTTCTTTCTTTCTTTCTTTTTTTGGTTAGTGGGCATGCATGCTCATAAGTGAGAGAGAGGCAGAGAGAGAGAGAGAGAGAGAGAGAGAGAGAGACATCTCACTCCCCAACTGGGCAATGTTATGCCGCTATCCTTTCACTTTCATTTCTCTAGCCCATCATAATTTGGGGCACATGTGCACACCTTCAATGTGTGTTTTTCAAACTGCTGGGACTGGGAATTGAACTGTGGTCAGCCTCTTGGGATTGTCTCTCTATGCACAGTGCTTAACTGCTATGCTATACAGTCGGCCTGGTCCGATAACATTATAATAGGTCATGCTGTATAGCCTGGGTGTGTAGGAGGCTAGATCATCTTGGTTTCTATAAGTACACTCTGAAACTTTTGCAAAATAATCAAATCACCTAATGACACATTTCTTTGAACATATCCCCATTGTTAAGAAATGCATGGCTTTATATATGTGTGTATATTTATACAAACATATATACATGAAACACCATAATTTGATTTCGCATTGTATTATGCTATAGTATTGTATTGTATTAAAACTATTGTTATATAAATATATTTACAATGAAACAATACAGCTTTTCTCATGTTAGACTCTGAAATCCACAAGGAGAAGAGTTGAAGTGTAATCCTCTTTATCAACAACATGTCTAATATTGTACATCATATGTAGTAGGTAGTCAGTACAAGATTTTGGAATAAGTAACCAATTATGAGAGTTAGTTAATGAAAATCCTGGCAAATGAAAGATCTGGGTGGAGGACAGTTCAGTAGCAGAGAGTTTGCCCAATGATTTGTATCAACCTTGTGCTCCTCCTGAAGATAGCAAGTTTCTCAGGAAATTCATAGTATGTCATAAAGCTGATTTTATCTGGACAACTTGGAGACAATGGTTTCTTCTCTCCAGCCCCAGCCCCTCGGAGGGTTGCTGTTCTGTGATGGAATCAGGCACTCTTGTGCCCAGTGTCAGTTCCCATCCTTTGCCAGGTGCGTTATGTGTCGTTCAACCTCTCCGAACCCTAGTGACTCTGTCTACACAATGGTGAGGTGAATTCTTACCTTGCAGGCTCTTTGGAAGGTTAAGTGAGAAACAGGGTGGTCAAGTGTCCAGGTGTGTGGCTTATTGTGGGCTCCCAGCACACAGGGGCCCCATCACTACTATCGTTGAAGAGGAGCCTCTCGCACGTCCCACTTGTCTTCACAAGTGTTTTCATCTGGGAGGAAATTAGAAACGCAGCTTATTTATTAACCATCACCACAGTTTATTTAATATTTGTCACCCACACCCTCACAAATTCTTTGTAACATTCATTACCATTGTATTACCTCAGAGCAGCTGAGCCCAGAGGAGGCAGGCAGGGCCTAAACTCTGGAAAATAATCAGGTGCAGTTTAGGTCATGACAATTGAATCATCTCTGACTAGCCTCTCAGGTGCTGTACTGGGGTAGGGGTTTTGTGTATACCTTCTCCTTAGATTCCTGCATCCCTGCACCTGATTGAAGGGGGGATTGAAGGGTTCAACTCTCCTGTCTTCTCTAAGATATCAGCTCATTTTCAGGTCTTTTTGCAAGGCTGGGTTAAACAACAGAAGCATGGCTTTATATATTGAAAAGTGACCAGCCCAGAGTTGCATGGAAGTACCTTATTCTGAGTGGTTGGCTTTTGCTGTTTCCGTTCAGCCCAAGTGCTTCACTGTCGGATAGGGACAATGCCATGCCAACATGGCACAGCTGTTGGAGGGCAGGCATCCTGCTTTAATGAATTGATCAGAAGGGTTTGGGTCCAGCCCAGGTCAGGCCACTGTGGGGCCCAGACTCACGTCAATCTCACCACCCACATGCAAATAGCCCTGCTGTTAGTCATTCAGACTGTTTTTTAAAATTAATTTTTAAATTTACATTTAATCACTGTACATCTTTAGGGTGTACAACATGGTTTTTCTCAGCATGAATATGATTCATTTTAGTCAGGTCAAAGACATTGCTATGTATTGGGTATGGGAAAGGTCACGAGGTATTCTTTTCTATGCAAAATGCATTCTGATTTTTCCAACAACGCAATGCATTATTATCGACAGTTCAGTTTTCATTTTTGTGTCTACTAAACGTGTTGCTTTTTTCCCTGCTCCCCTCCCTCCCACTCCCCCGAACAGTGGATGAACTGACCCCTCCCTCCCAGTGTGGCAAAGCACATTGTGCATAAGCACAGCCTCATTGGCAACGACGGTGATAAATAACCAACGTGTACTTGCTGCAATTTGCAGTTCCCCCAGTTCGCGTGCATCCTTGACCTCATCATCATCTTCACACTACCTGCATTCTTAACCCTGTTTTCCAGATGAGAAATGTGTGGCTCAAGGAATTTAGGACATTTGTGGAGTAGATGGGCAGTAAACGTTACAAATGAGATACGAACCTAGGTTTTCTGGTCATCAACCCAATGACTTAATGAGTAGATAAAAATGATGTCTGTGCTTCAGCTCATGCAGCCCTTGTACCTACCTGCTTACTGGGCAATTACAAGGTAAGTGGGTAAATGGGCTCTTCCAGGTATTCCAGCATAGATGTCCTTCTTACATGAATGGCTCCTCAGCAATTGTATTTACAAGATTCATTTGCAAAGCTCTTCTCCACTGAGAGAGGGAAGGTAAACCCAATGCAGACCCCGTGAGGCTCTTCACCAAGGCATAGTTCCTGCAGCTGCAAATTCATTAGCATTTATTGCTGCCTGCCTCCTCATTTGCCACCAATGACTGGTAGAGGTCAAGGAGGTTAAGGGACTCCCAGAAGGTCCCAGAGCAGATGCGGGGGAGCAGTAGTAACAAAACTCCATCTCACCCTTCCACAGAGGCTCACTCAGTGCCTGAGCTTGAGCATGTGTGCTCGGCCGCACACTAATTAGGACTAACTCGAGGAGTGCCAGCATGCTGTGAAGCTCTTGAAAGATGATCAGAATTGGAGAAATTCATCCAACTCGCTGGAAATGCAACCCATCAGGATACCTTTTTCTCACCATCCTCTTGTGAAAGTGTATTCCACTTCAAGAAGATGTGCGAGTGAAATTTTAATTGAATAAAAGACAGGAAATTCTCCAGGATGGTTCCCATAGCAACTGCTGTGTGTGTATGTGCACGCGCTTAATGCATGCATTAGAGGAAAAATAGCTTCTCTTAGTGTGCAAGTCTAGAATGTAAAACTGGGAAGGGATGGGCACTGGAGTCCCCCACAGTAGCCTAATGCCGGATTTATGACTGCTTTTGAATTGTACCTTTTCTCTCAACATGGTAGTGGCAAACTGTATTTGCTGGTCTCTTCTCATTTCTCGACCTCCTGTGTACAAGATGACACCTTGTTGAGGATACTCTGAGGATAAATCAGCTTCCCTATAAGAAGCAGGTCCTGGTAGCAGGTCTCCATCAGGCTAACAGTCGCTTCTGGAGATCATCTAGCCAGCTGTTTTGTGAGTGCTGGGGTCATGGACTTTGTTGGCAGATGGGGAGGGTTGGGCCCCACCATCCACTTCCTATTTCTGTAAATCTAGGTGTGTTTTTTCACTAGTCAGAAACCCATTTACTTTTTTTGTTCATTTTTATGTTTATTTATTTCCTCTTTGAAAGGCACTCCCAACAGAGTCTTCCACTCTACGATCTCACCCCCCACCTCAAACCAGCTAGTATCATGGGCATGCGTGTATACCCAGCATGCCTAGGAAGACCTCAGGCTGCAAACCCAGGTGCCTCCCACATGGGTTCAGCATTGGGGAGTGTTGTAATACCACTGCATCATTGTGCTGACTAGTTTATTTTTGTTTTTAAAGATTTGTGAAAGGAAGAATAAATCAACTACTCAGGATAGTATTATGTTTGAGAGAAAATCAGAAGAAAACAGACTCAGTGCTTCTTTTCTTTCTCAGAGACTCACAGGAAAGTAGGAAACCCAACTGGTTGTGTTCACACTTCTTTATTAGAGGCCCCCAATACCCTGGAAGGTAGGAAAGTTGTAATTAATGTTTACTGATATAGGTAGTGTGTAAAGAACAGACCAGCCATGAGAGAGGAGTCTTTCTAGATGGGAGAAGTGAGGATAAAGGAACAGAGGAGCAAATCCAAAACAAATTAGCATAGCCCCTCTGTTTATCTCACATGAAACTCTTCTGTAGGCACACTGAGGACATCAATGTCTAACTTGTTCCATGACTCAAGACCGAAAATCAAACTCACAGAAGCAGAGTAGAAGGATGCTGGCCAGGGCTGGGGTGGGTAGGAAAAGGGGGAGTTGGTCAAGGAACACACTTCGGTTCGAAGATAAATAGATTCTGGGGAATCTAACACTCAGCATGGTGGTAATAGTTAACAATACTGTGTTACTTGAAATCTGCTAAAAGGGTGGGTTGTAAATGTTTCTACCATGCTCCTTCCTCAGAAGGGGATCTATGTGAGGTGATGGCTGTGTTAACTGACTTGATCATAGTGACCATTTCACAGTGCATACATATATCAAATTATCACACTGTATACCTTAAGTTATAATTTTATGATTGTAATTCAATACAATTTCATTTGCCAATTATACCTCAATAAAGCTAGAGAAAGAACAAACAAAAAAAGCACAGACCTACTGTGTGGTCAATGCTGGGGAAATGTTGAACTGAATTGACTCTGACCTAGTTTATTTGGCAGAAGGTCAAGATCATGAGCCAGACTCGACCAAGAAGAGACGCAACTTATAATTTATTAAAATATCTGGCACACTATTCTTATAAACAAAAGCACACAACTACTGTTATAGAGTCAGAAACTTGGTCTTTGCAAATTCAAGTGCAGGGTGTTTTTTTGTTTGTTTTAAAATCTGTGTTGTTAATTCTCCTGTTGTTTAGAGACGCATCGTCCTGAAAATTCCAGTGTCTGCTGGCTTACTAAGGGTGGAGAGGTGGGATCTTAACTTTGCACACAGCTTTGCTGCAGAGAAAATTGAGGGGGTGGTGACAGCTTTTATCTTCTGAGTCCTTGAAACATTTTGTACTTGGTTTATCTAAGGAGCGATTCTCTTATAATAGCAGCAGCTGTTTTCCTGCCCTCTGGAAGGCAGAGGAGCTCTAGGGTCCCCAGCAGACTGAGCCTTCTCAGAATATTCAATTCAGCCCTGTCAAGCCAAGGTTCCGAATGTTGTTCCTCGCACCCGGGGGTGTCTGTCACTGGCAAGAGACAACATCTTCCGACAGCCCAGAGCAATTATGTTGGATGTATTTCCCCATGGGCTGGGACATGGGCAGGTGGGCCAAGCAAAAGCAGATGTCCCCTGATTTGGAGGGGCTATTTGACCTTGGCGGGCAGCCTGGTGCTGCATGTAGTCTGGCATGGAGACAATATGGATTGAAATCTGGATGCCACCACTCATTTGCTCTGAAACCCTGGAATAGTTACTTTTTACCTCCCACCCCTCCACATGCACCCTATCTGGCCTCCATTAATTATTATTTTTATTGTTATTACTTTAAAAATAAGCTTGTACTTTACTTTTTTTTAAATTTCAGTTTATTTATTTGCCTTCATTCACTTTACGTCATTACAGCATACAAAATGAAAATTTCTATCCAGAGTACACTGTATATTGTCTCAGTCAAGCACATCAACAAACATGTTATTGTCAGCAAATAATTTTCCATTTCTTGTTTTCTGTATGTTTTGCTTTTTTCCCCATCCTTGATTCCCTATCTCTTACCCTCTGCCATCTCCCACTCTCCTCCCACACTGTCTCTGGTATCTATGTTTGCTTTCTATACTGTTTTCCCCCACATTTTATTGAGTCACTAAAGATCTTAATTAATCTAAATATTTTCATAGCAAACACAGTTGATATATACATTTTCATGAACACAAGTCTAACTTTATGCATCCTATAAAGTAGCACCTTGCTGGGGCTATATATCTTACTGCAGTCATTGAATAGATATTTTTTTTCCTGAAACTTTTTTTTTGTAACTTAATTTA